GTTTTTTCCTAGTTTACTTTTGCTATCAGTGCAGTGCAAAATCTATTTCCCTGAATTAGGTTGCATTTCATTAATCTTTTAAACGTGAAATTGTAGTGGTTCAAGGTTAAGGAGGTTTTAAGAATGTGTGTTACTTAAATTGTGGCTAGATTCTTTCAAAAATACTCCAGAAAACAGCAATCATTTATAGTAGTATGAAAGTATGAATGATGTTTAAATCTTCGTAAAATTGACTGAACTTTGGTTAGATTCATCAACAAAATAATTATTGCAAACATTTATAAGTGAAGTGTTCAGGGTATTTCAGAATTGAATTAGTAAAATATAGATTAGTTTATACTAATGCAAGGAATATAGTATCCTTTAAAAAAAAGTAGACAGGTATAAAACAGGAGGGAAGTTCAGGGGAAGGAGAAATTATTCAACTGTACCTAGATAATCCCATTCATCAATTCCCTTCCTGTTTACTCAGAACATGTATTCAAAACCTACAAGGCCTAGGCATTGTGCTGAATACCTAGGATACAAATAAATCTAGCACCCTTCCTTCCCTTAACATGTTCAGTCTAATGGATCAGATAGTCATGTAAACAAATCATGACACAGTGTTGCAAGAACAGATCTGTGCAAATACTGTGGGAGATAAAGGAAGAACTACCATATAGTACAGAAATTCCACTTCTGGTTATATATACAAAGAAAAGGAAAACTAATTCAAAAAGATATATGCACCCCCATGTTTGTTGCAACATTATTTACAATAACCAAGACATGGAAATGACCTAAGGATCCATTGATGGATGGGTAGATAAAGAAATTGTGGTACACACACACACACACACACACACACATCTCCCCTGCCCACACACAGTAGAATATTATTCAGTCATAAAAAGAAGGAAATTCTGCCTTGGAAACAACATGGATGGAACTCCAGGGCATAATGCTAAGTGACATAAATCAGACAGAGTTATTTATTCTGCAAATACTGTATATTTTCACATTGAATAAAAAAGCCAAATTCATACAAACAGAGAACATTCTGGTGTTTGCCAGGGGATCAGGACAAAGGAGAGGGGATGAATGGAGCAATGTCAGTCAAAGAGAACAAATTTCCAGCCATCAGATAAATAAGTTCTGCTGATCTAAGTGCAACATGGCAAATGTAGTGAATAATAATGTATTATATACATGAATGTTGTTAAGAGAATAAATTTTGAACGTTATCACCACACAAAGAAAAGTTAATTATACAAGTGGATAGAGGTGTTAACTAACCTTATTCTGGTAATCATTTCATGACACATATGGATATCAAATTACCACATTTTTATCTTAAATTTAAATGCTATATGTTAATAATATCTCAATAAAGCTGGAAAACATCCAGAATCCAATCATTTCTTACTTGATTACTACAAGCCTCACTTACCTCATTACTATAATAGTCTCCTTTTTAAAAATTGAAGGACAATTGACATATTATATTATATTAGTTTCACGTGTATACCACAGTGATTCAACATTTGTATACATTGTGAAATAATCACTCGAGTAAGTCTAGTTACCGTCTGTCACCATACAAAGTTAACACAATATTATCTAATGTATTCCTCATTCTGTACATTACATCCCCATGACTTACTTATTTTATTAAGTGGGATGCCTGCCTATATTCTTGCTCACTATAGTCTTTATTCCATGCGGTGGTCAGGGTGATATCATGAAAGTCCATGTCGGATCATGCAACAGCTCTGTTCAAAATCTCCTAGTGGTTTCCTAAGTAGGATCTCTTAGATTAAAACCCAAAATCTGTGCAAAGATCTAGAAGGCTCGTGATCTCATCCCTCCTTCGGTCTCTGATGTCATCTCTTACTTATTTCTGCCTCATTTGCTGCACTCCAGCCACGTTGACCTCCTTGCTGTATCTATGCCAGGCATGTTCCTCCTTCCAAGCCTTTGCTCTGATTATTTCCCCTCTTGGAATGGTTCTGCCCCAAGAATACCCACAACTTGTACCCTCAACCCTTCTAAGTCTTTGTGCAGTATGTCACCTCTTTCCTGCAACCTTCACTGACTATTGCCTTTTAAAATTACCCAGCACTCCCGAATCTTCTTGATGTAGTCTTATGTTTTCTATAGCACTTTTTTGCATTGTCTAGCACCAATATCCTTAAACTCCATTAGACAGACATTCCACTTAAAGCCATTCTATCTCTTAAAATGTAAGATCTTTCTCACCCTAAACATCACAACACATTAAGTAGTTTAGGGGTAAAAATCTTAGCTGTGAATGGAGGACTTGACAAGATTTGGTATGTCAGTCCCAGGTCACCAGTCACACCGGCCCTTTCAAGCAACATGGCCTTCCAGGCATGTTCACATCTTCATCCTGGTCTCTCATAGGCCTAACTATGATAAAGTTGGATGTTTCCCAATTCATGGAGGAGGATATTTTGTCACAATAGAATCTAGGTATAAGTAGTAACCCTGGCACTAATTGCTAGAAGAAGCTATACCATCTGAGGCAAATTCCAGGTGAGTTCGTGAGTGAGGTGATCAAGGTCACCTTCAAAGCCTGTAGTGTGAAAGGGAGTGATGCAGTCTGTGATAAAAGAAACTGTGACGTGGTGATGCCATGATAGTGCATTCTGACCCCATCAGCTTGAGATGGCTAAGGATTCTATTATGCAAGTCTGCCCCAGCAAACACAAGAAGCAAGTATTGAACTGCTTTGAATGGTATGGCTTCCTTATCACCTTAAAAACTGGGCAAACAGATTCCTTTCTCATTAAGCTAGAATATAAGAAAGCAAAAAAATCCCTGCCCCACCGCAAAGAGTTTACTGGCCGAAGAACATTGTAGCATCCAGTCTCATTTGCTGCTGACCAAGATAATCTGGTACGGCCAGGAGAGATGTTTATGCAAAATATTCCAAAGTTGCTCAGAGTCTGTCATATGGAATACAAATTCTGGCTGGAGCATGTTATTTCAGAAAAGTTAGATGTATTCTCATACTCAAATACTATAGCTTTCTTTTAATTGTTCTCATTTCCCCATCATGGATTCCTCCTTTACTTTAGGTTCTGTATCTTTTTTTGGCTTCTGAAACTGGGTTTAGAGTCAAATTCCCAGCTTCCCTTTCTTATAAAATGCAAGAAATACAGACAGATGGGAGAGAAGAGAGGCTGAGAGGTCACCAGGTTCCTATGAATCAGAAGGAGAAGATGAAAGAACATGGGAATGACAGATGTAATATATTAGCATATTAACATATAATTTTGGCCAGGATTGGGCCTGTGAGAAGAAGCTATTCATTTCAAGCTATGCATGAATTTTTCCTAGAGTAAATAATAGTTTTCTCCCCTTGTAACATATGAGACCACTGTTCTCGTGGTTTTACTTCACAAGGTTCATAGAATGTTGGTGCAAATGAAGGCACCCCACCCCTGTCTTACTTGAGCACACATGGTGCAGCTGCTCATTGTCATCTCTCAGAAGTCCTTGGCAGTGCATACTGCTTCACCATAGGCTTCAAAGTGTCCTTGCAACATATCATCTGACCACATTGCTTGGGGTGTCCCACCTCAACTTGGTACCATTGAGTACCTTTAGGATAAAGTTGTAAAGAAAATAAAGCTTAACCAAAGCATTGTTAGTCTCTTCTTGATGACTGCTTTTTCATTCTGGAGTAACTGTATTTAGTGTAAATTTATTTTTTGGCCTTTCTTCTGATGACCTATATGTTTAACTAATTGATTATACTTTACATGAAAATCAAAGTGTTTTTTCCTAGTTTACTTTTGCTATCAGTGCAGTGCAAAATCTATTTCCCTGAATTAGGTTGCATTTCATTAATCTTTTAAACGTGAAATTGTAGTGGTTCAAGGTTAAGGAGGTTTTAAGAATGTGTGTTACTTAAATTGTGGCTAGATTCTTTCAAAAATACTCCAGAAAACAGCAATCATTTATAGTAGTATGAAAGTATGAATGATGTTTAAATCTTCGTAAAATTGACTGAACTTTGGTTAGATTCATCAACAAAATAATTATTGCAAACATTTATAAGTGAAGTGTTCAGGGTATTTCAGAATTGAATTAGTAAAATATAGATTAGTTTATACTAATGCAAGGAATATAGTATCCTTTAAAAAAAAGTAGACAGGTATAAAACAGGAGGGAAGTTCAGGGGAAGGAGAAATTATTCAACTGTACCTAGATAATCCCATTCATCAATTCCCTTCCTGTTTACTCAGAACATGTATTCAAAACCTACAAGGCCTAGGCATTGTGCTGAATACCTAGGATACAAATAAATCTAGCACCCTTCCTTCCCTTAACATGTTCAGTCTAATGGATCAGATAGTCATGTAAACAAATCATGACACAGTGTTGCAAGAACAGATCTGTGCAAATACTGTGGGAGATAAAGGAAACATAACAGCTCCACCTTGTTCAAGGTGTCATGGCAGGGTGTGTTAAGGACATCTTAAGAAAGAAACAGGCATTTATACTGAGACTAGACAACTTGAAGGTCAAATTATAGTTGGTCAGGTGGTCAGGAGTAGAAAACAATCCGGCAAAAGTAATTACAAGCACAAAGTCATTGTTACAAGCTGTGTTTTTGCATTTCAAAAATAACTGGTTGTCTTCAAATATGCTTTAAAAATAATGTAAATGTTTCTTTTTTTAACCAAGCCATTGAACTAACACTAAACTTAGAAAATGATTTACCTGGTCACAGACATTCAAGAAATCAAATTGTTAAAATGAAAAAGTTAAACCCAGAGTATGACTAACATTTGTCTATTTAAAAATAACTACAGTGTACTTAAGGGATAAGGGATAAAACAAGCTATATTTTATTGCTATTGATTTTTATGGGTATTGATTCTTATTTTAAGCTTTTAACAGTTCTAAGAAGCAAGAATGTAGAAGAGGAGTGAGATCTCCTGAATGAAAAGTATAATAGTAAATACATTTTTTTCTCGCACCTGTAGATTTAGCGGTGTTTACACCCCACCAACTTGTACTCAGTGCTTGCACACATGTGGGATGTACAAACAGTTCTCCAGTGATACTGTACACTTCACAGCTGCCACCAGAACATGTGGATTCTCCGATTTTGACCATCCTGGATTCTAGAACTGTATATGTACAGTAAGTAGAAATATTGTCTCTGTCACACACTGGTTCATGCAAGAATCTGTGAGTTCAATCAAGGAAAGGGTTTCTGACATAAAATTAATTTTATTGTGATTAAATGCATAAAAGTGATTAGTTCAGTAGTTCGGGGAACCTTTGATTATCACTTGCCAACTTAATTTCCATTTTGTCTTTATGCAATCAGGCTGAGATACATATATATACAGATTTTGTGCAAACTTTAGTAAGAGGAAAACTGACCACTTACATGACTACTTTGGGCTTTTTATGTGAGATATTATTTGCTTGATTGTAATGATTTGAAATTAGAAAGTAAAAACACATATTTTCTTTGTGAGTATAAATTAGGACCTTCTTTTTCCCTTGCAGTTGATGTCAGAATGGAACTTTCACATATAGGCATGTTTTTTTATTTTTAATATTAGTGATTCTTATCCATCACCTAATATATGAAGTAAAAGATATATGGCAGTACTGAATTAAAACTTAATCGGTCTCTCTTATCATCAGTTAATACTTGTTTGTATTCATCTCTCTTGACCTTAAGTTCTCTCATCTGTAAAAGAAGAGTTTGGACTGAATATATTATGATATTCATTCAAGCTGAAAAGCATTATGATTTATATCCCATTGTTCCAAGTCTAAACTCCCCTATTGATTTTCAGTGTGCCCCCAACTGAGTTCACATCACTTACCCCAAAAGATTCCCCTCTACTCTAAGTAATTCTCAATTCACCAATTTCTGTCTATTCCGTGGCTTGTCTTGCTCAGGCCGCTGACGCAGGACAACTCTCACCTGCAACACCCCTGCCTTCTTCCCCTACCTACCAAATCGAATCCATCTATCAAGTTTACCATCTTATATATCTAGGTGGTGTGTCTGCTCATTTAAGAAATCTTACTGGACTACCTCAGCTTTTCCAGTACTCAACTTTTTCTGTACTCTAGTTGTGTATTAACTCTATGCTAGATTGCTGCATTTTTTTAAAGACTTTATGTCATTCTTTCTCCCATTTCTCATAAGTTCTCAGATGTTCTACTTCTCCTAATTTGTATTTGGTGACTTAAGTTCAAAATCAAGTGCTCATGCATACGATTTTGTATTTTTAGCTAATTAAAATTACAAGTAACTGGAGAGCAGGCACTACGTCCTATTTCCGATATACCATTGAGAAAAGGCATGTAATAACTATGTGTGTTTTTTAAGTGAATCCCTTTTGAGCTTTCAGTCTGCTTTCTTCATGGAGCCATAAATCCACGTTCCTGTGTGTCCCTTATAAATCCTGTATAGTTCAGGTTTGACTTGAGTGAATGACGATGATGCTCTATTTTTACATTCCCAGGTGGAAACAACCAAGAAAAGTAAACGGAATTCTGGAGCGCTATCTATTATATATTTCAAATCACACGCCTGAATTTGCCATTTGGGATGTCATCTATAACAGTTCAGAACTTTTCCAGGATCACGTGCTACGAGACCTATTCCCTGGTAACAAATACCTTATCAAGCTGGGAGTAAGTTCACTTTACTTCTATTACTGTCTCTGTCCCCATCCCTTCCCTTGTTTGTTCACTTTCCTTTGTCGCAACTTTTCTCCTTCACTTAAAGAAAAAGCAAGACCAGAAGCCTCATGTATTGTTTTTTACACAGAAAACTCACTTCACCTCCTCTATGAAATTTTGTTGATCTAATACCTACATATTTATTTTAGATTATGCAAAATAATAGAATAACAATCTGACTCAGTAGATTTTCCCAAATCTAAGTTGAGATTATCAGAAATTTTTTTCTTTTTATCATTTATAGAATATCATAATTATTGAGGGATTTTTCTAAAATGCTTAATTAATAAGGATATTTCCCCATGAGCCTGTATTCATTGGAAAAAACAATATACAGTATGGAAATGTAGGTCTTTTATTTTTCAGTGAAGGTTTAAATGACCCCCCCCAAATATTCTTGATTGTTATTATGTACCAGTTCACATTACATTTTTATCTCAGAAGAACAGTCACTTAATCAAACCGTAGAATCAACATGGTTTAAAGGCTTCTTTAGAAAGATAATAGCATTTTTAAATACAGAATACCACTTTTATTTACAAAGGTCTTTTAAAAGACCTTGATATTACTGTGGAATTTATACTCAGTAGTTCCTTTTGTTTTTTGATGAAATATAATCTTTTTTAAGTTTAATAGCACATCTGAAAATAACTGAATATAAACATGAGATTGTCCCTATTTGTTTTAAACACACTCTTCATTTTATAGCAATACCTATATAAGGATATTTGCTTTGATAAATGCCATAGAAAATATTCTGCTCTTGATTATGAATAAATTTACATTTATGTAGACACTGTGTATGCATTCATTTTACTTAACATGCTCTTGAATGCTCTAAATATTATACCACGAGAAAATAAACTACATTCAACTATTGCTAACTGTCTGACCTGACACCACAAAACAAGGGCAATCAGACAATGTTAAAAATCCCATTTAGAACTGTCTCCATGTGCCTAGGTGCTTAGCACACAGGTGGATTTATGAAACAAAATCTTTGATTACTTAGTTTTATTACCTAAGGTGTAAGAAGTGGATCAACTTGATTTTCCAAAGCTAACACAGAAACCCACACTATTTTCAAAACAGTGGTAAGATCAAAATTAAGATAACTCTCTTGCTTAGAAGCAACCAAAATTAAACAAGTTATTATGCACTCAGTTTTTATCGGAAGGAGGCAAGTGACACGAAACAACATTCTATTCTTAAGGGAATTTTTTTTAAGATACTCTGTGCCATCAGTGAAAATGCATCTGAATCTCCTGTGTTTATAAACCTATCATACCTTGATAACTAGATACCACTAGTTTGGGAGTCCACTCTCCTGAGTTGCAATTCAGATTTTTTCACTAACTGTGTAACCTAAGGCAAATTCATTTAAGCACATGGAGTTTTACATTCTTCAAGCCTGAAATGAAGATTTTGAACTAAATGATGTCTCTTTGAGCCCTAAAATTCTATGATACGAAAAAGGTTACCCCAAATAATATTCTATGCAAGATATCATAAAGATGTGGAAGTCCTTGCTCTAACTCTTGTTAGGGAAATAAATTTGCTCTTATTATTTTCGATTTCACTGTATTTATTAAGGCAGAAAATATGCTAATATATTTTCAGGAAATAGTCAACTAAAAGGATTTTTTCTTAACTCTGTTAACCAGTAAATTAAATGAACCAGAACACTGAGGTTCATCTTGGTTAATTGAGAGATTATTGTATATTTCACAGTGTCAACGTAATAACTGACTTTCAAGGTCATTAGATTAGTAGATGGAGATCAGGTTCTCAGCCAGCAGAGTTAGTTGCCTTTCTAGTCTTAGCTAGTTGACTGAATGCTGGAAAACAAAGCATGGACAACAAAGCCTTTAAACAGGTATTAGAAGGCAGGAAGATACATGAGGATTCAAAACATTATGATTTACTCCAGACTAGGAGCATGTATATTTCTTCATGTGGCTTCATTTAATTCTCCCTGTTGACTGGATTATAAACTCCTGAAGGGCAGAGACTGTATCTTTCAAATTATATTTGTGAAGTCAAGCACAGTGCCTGGTAGAAACTGGAAGCTCAACAAGCAATTACTGAATGAATTAATGAGCACTAAGTATATACATTTCATAGAGAATCTGAGACTTCTTACGTAAATTAAATAATGTATAAAATGTCAGAGTTAGGGACTATATGGTTCCAAACATATGCTCTTTCTACTAGGAGAAACACCATAACATATTAACATATTGCTACACTCAATAAATTGTATTGTTATGAGTGGTGGTGCCTAATAAAGAAAATAAGTCAGCAAGTAAATAAAGAAGCTAGTAAGAGAGACAAGTGACAAGATATGTAAGACTGGATAATTTTTCATATTACTTGTAGACATTCATTTCTGGATAACTATCAAGTGTTAAATATATTTCCTGGAAATATTCTTGGAAATGATGAGCTTAACTTTTCTAAAAATCATTTATAGATGATATGACCTTGTTCTTTTTCTTCACACTTTAAAACATGCTGCATTTTTAATATCCTAAGACCCTACTTCTCTGAAAACAAACTATGGGAAAAGATAATGCTAGTTTTGAATGTTCCTAATAGTCATGATTTCAAAAATAAAATTGATATATTTTTACTAGTTATGCATTTTATTGCACCAGAATTGAATGTACTATTTGGTCATAGGTTACTCCTCATGTCAGGGTAATATTATGACTTCACAATTTTTAAAAAATGGCTGCAATTGATAAAAGCTGTAGGAGATGGGTTGAAATACCATATTTTAATGGCTCAGAAGCTTTCAAAGACCTTGCCATTTCATAAATGCAACTTTAATCAATCCCACTATTTTGTTTAGTTTTTCCAAACCAGAATTTTAATCAACATTCAATGCATTGAATGCAATGGCTTCTGGTTCTGGGAGTTCAAACAAGGTACTGATTGGTTCAATTTCATTTAGATACTATTGGTTAGAAAAGACCAATCAGAAGCAACTTCAAAACATTTATTTCCTCAGTGGAAGAACCAAGATATTCCACCTATCACTTAGCACCTCTAAATGCATGCAAAAAGATGTGGGAAAAAAACCAAAATATTGTGCAGATAATTCTGTTATTTCAAGATTCTGTTTCATCTGTAAGAAAAATTCTGTCATAAATTCCTTTGATTCTTTATTTTTTTGAGGGGGGCAATGTACTTTTTTTTAAAGTGTCATTGACATATACTCTTCTGAAGGTTTCACATGAAAAACACTGTGGTTACTACATTTGCCCATATTATCAAGTTCCTCCCATACCCCATTGCAATCACTGTCCATCAGTGTAGTAAGATGCCAGAGAGTCACTATTTGCCTTCTTTGTGCTACACTGTCTTCCCCATGACCTCCCCAACACCATTTGTACTAATCGTAATACCCCTCAATCCCCTTCTCCCTCCCTCCCCACCCACCCACCCTCCCTCACCCCTCCCTTTGGTAACTGCTAGTCCCTTCTTGGAGTCTGTGAGTCTGCTGCTGTTGTGTTCCTTCAGTTTTATTTGGTTGTTACAGGCCCAAAGTCAGTAGAAGGAGAGACATAATAAAATCAGAGCATAAATAAATAAAATAGAGAAGAATAAAACAATAGAAAGAATCAATGAAAGCAGATCTGGTTCTTTGAGAAAATTAACAAAATAGATAAGCCCCTAACCAGACTTATCAAGAAAAAAGAGAGTCTACACACATAAACAGAATCAGAAATGAGAAAGGAAAAATCACTACGGACACCACAGAATTGCAAAGAAATATGAGAGAATACTATGAAAAATTATATGCTAACAAACTGGAAAACCTAGAAGAAATGGACAACTTTCTAGAAAAATACAACCTTCCAAGGCTGACCCAGGAAGAAACAGAAAATATGAATAGACAATTACCAGCAAGGAAATCAAATTGGTAATCAAAAACCTACCTAAGAACAAAAGTCCTGGACCAGATGGCTTCACCACTGAATTTTATCAAACATTTAGTGAAGATCTAATACCCATCCTCCTTAATGTTTTCCAAAAAGTAGAAGAGGAGGAAATACTTCTAAACTCATTCTATGAGGCCAGTATCTCTCTAAAACCAAAACCAGACAAAGACACCACAAAAAAAGAAACTTACAGACCAATATCCCTGATGAACATAGATGCAAAGATTCCTTGGATTCTTAAGAGACTTGTTAGTCAAGTTATTAGTTTATGGATCTTAGATGACATAGGCCAAAGAGGAGTCCTTCAAAATCAGAGGATGTCTTTATTTATCCCAGAAGGTATCATAAAATTCTCAAAACAAAGTAAATTTTAATTCACATTTTGTTTTAAAAAATACAGAACTCATGTCATATAGCACAGTATTTCTTTGAGGAGATTTGGCAGGGGAAAATATTTAGGACATGAATAAGAAACACAGTAGTGACAAATAGACTATGAGAATTAAATCCCAGTGTTAGGAGTTTAACAATAGATGCTGCAACTTTTCCCCCTCTTAAGGGGAAAAAAAAAATCTAGGAAATGAAAGTAGATGGATTTCTCTCTCTCTCTGAAGACTGGAAAGAATGCTCCTTTGATTATTTTCCTTTGACAGCTCAGCTGTCCACATGGAGTCTACCCGCCACATTTTCTAGTGGAATTTTAGCACATTTGAAATGTTTTGTTTTCATTTTTCTGTTTTAATGTTCAGGTAGTTATTTCTTGGGATAGGAGTGACATGTCCTAGAGCTCTGAGTCAGGGTTTGGCCACAAGTGCCATTAATTCCTGTTTATTTGCAAAGACTCTGTTTGCAGAAAGAGTATTTTATCTCTTAGATATATATGCACATGCCACAGCTGAGAATTAGAGGAAACCCACAGAGGTTAATTAGGTCCCCAATATTATGCAATTCCATGCACTGACCACAATTTAACCCATCTGAAACTTGCTGATGAGAAATTACCCTGAAGACATGGGTTAAAGTTGTATTCTTACAATATAAATGAGACTGATTTCCATGTCTATTAACTGCATATTGTTATTTATACTTACAATGAAGAATTTGCAACAACTTTACAAATAGTATACATCAATATAAAATCTTTAAAAATCAGTCATGTTTTTCCTGCCTTTGGGATAAAGAATATCAAGTGTCTTGAGTATCAAACTGTCGTTCTTCAATATCAAACTGAAAAGCAGAGAACAGGCCCAGAGAAATAAAGAGGTGTAATTTTTTTATTGGTAATATCTACCTTCCATGGAAATGGACTAAATAAAGTCAAATTTTTAGATTGTCCTATGATGTGCTTCATTTCCTTATTGATTTTGGTAAAATTTAATGATCTTTTAAAAATATTTTTAAGTTTTGTATAAATTACAGTTGTAGCCTTAAGAATTGTTGAAAAAGCTTAGGTGTTGTTTTCGAACATCTGTGTTATGTAAAGATATAGTTGCTAATACTAGCAAGTATTAGCTCACAAATACAGTCTGGAAAAATCTGTGTATACATCCCAATTTCCTGGAGAAATGTTTATTCAATTAGTTCAGCCATGAAGATATTTTTCTAATACACTTTAACATTTGTTTTGGAGTTATTTGCAGTTTATTATGAAAGTGCACACAGAAGTTTCTGAATATCTTTATTTTTGGTGTTAGTAATTCCTGTTTGGAGAATAGGGGGATTCTGTGATCGTTGTTGTTTGTCAGCCATGTAACGAAGCCCATTTCCTCTGGCATATAAATAGGTAATTTGGTCCTTTAAGCCATTAAACACTCACTCAACTGCTCCTTCTTAGTTGATTTATGAGAAATATTGTTTTTTTCAACTTCAGGTTGTATTATACATAAAACATACTGGTCACACTATACTATATATAAAGCAATTTGCTGTACATGCATTTTTTTCCCCTTGAAGTCACTTGTTTGATTCTATAATACTTTTAGTACTTTTTCATACATGTGTGTGCACTTAATCCATTCTGGGAACTTTTGTGCAAGGCTAATTTCATCGTCTATTCACCCAGTCAATAGGCGCCCTATTTCTAGACACCAATTTAGGATGTGTTTATAATTTGTACGTTCATACATCCTGGGTTTTTTCTAATTCTTGGAGACGGCTGACTCATGTCCTAACAAACAAACTATATGTCATACCCCAGCATTTGCATTAATTTATTTTGGGGGGTAAAAAGAGCTTTATTTCCAAGAATCTGGAACTCATACAAATTCTCTTTCCTTCATGCTCATCTAAACTTTGGGGACCCAGGGTGAAATGTGCTTTCTGTGCATCTCTCTGCAGGCTTGCACGAGGGGTGGGTGCACCGTGAGTGCGGCCAGCGAGGCCTGGACTGATGAGAATGTCCCCAAAGGCGTGCCAGCCGCCGACGCGCACTCATACTCACCTCACTCCTTTAACATCTCCTGGACTGAGCCCGAATATCCGAATGGTAAGTGAACTCTTTTAGCCTTAAGTTAAAAAGATGATTAGCAAAGGTAAATTAATATTCTAAATGGCAGCTTATATGTGGTGCTTAATTTTTAATGATCATTTTAGCACATAAAATACCTGAGATAGTGTCATTGTCTGTAGTTGGAAGACTGTGGTTTTTAGGTTAACGCACAATTTTGGTGGCTCAAAACTGCTCCCTTTTGATAGTTCTTGTGTACTGCAGCTTATTGTTTAACATGTTCCAGAAGTGCAGAGAACAAACAAGGATTCCCAAAGAACGCCATTATGAGAGTGCCATATTTTCAATGACTTCCTGTTTTTGACTGATTATTTTGTTTGTGGAGAAGTACCGAGAAAGTTCATGTACGTATTGTCTTTAAAAATGATTTAATAAATTTGTCTTAAAAGAGACCATTTGGAACTCTGCATTTTAAATATATCATCTATAAATATTTCAACATGCAGCTTTTAAACAGTGCACACATTATATATACATGTATACTTGTTTAACTTGAACTGGATTGGGTACATTTCTAAGCATTATACACATCTGCCTAGTTTGGAGAATGGTGAGCCAAGTTAAAGTTTGCTAAAATAAAATCTTATAAAGAATTTACAATTAACTTGGGGTAGAAATTGCATTATTCATTAATTGGAAATATCTAAGTTTCACATGACACAGTATCATTGTTCCACATTGATAAAAGCTTGCAGAACGTCATATTTTGTTAATCTTTAAGACAAATATTAAGGAGACTTTTAATATCATAAAAACTGTTTTAAGGAACTTCTTACTGAAATATTGAAATGGTCTCCTTCAGCACAGCCAAAATAGAATGATAGAAAAACATTACAATTTCATTGGTTTTATTGGTCTTATGTTTACTATGATATTAATTATTCCAGTCGTCTCATTTTAATTAAACTTTTGGCAAATGCATTAGATAAATTTGAGGTAATAGAGAGACCTCTAATAATTAGAGTGAGTGATTATCTCTGCTATTGAATTTATTATTGTATTATAACAAATTTTCTAATAAGAAATAAATGGAAGTCTATTTGATACTTACATTAAACAGTCAAAAGCTTGTCATACTTGGCACTCCACAAAGAAATCTAGTGTATAGGTGACAATGAAAATGTTGATGACTTATTCCAATTGGATTGCTGTTAAATGCTTTTACATGATTTGCATAGTAGAATACTTTCTTCATTCCAGCTGGAACCACGACTGCTTTCAGAATCCCAAGATAACTAGAGAGATACTTTCTACAGTTCAAGGAATATTTGTTCATGTTTTTTTGCATTTATAAGCAGTTTTTAGAATATATTCATTGAATAATATGAATTTGGGAGAATTTGGAGATTTTCATTAACATTTCCATTCTATTCTAAAGTCTTCTGTTTAATCACATCAGAATTTTCCAAATTTTTGTTGTGGGAAAATGGTTAGATACTGAAAGGCAATAGTTTTCATTAAAAAAAAAAAAAAAGACCCAACTCTCCACTCCTTCTCTTACCACTTTCCCCCAGTGTTTCAGTGTTTGGTTTCTGTTGTCCATTGTCTGGAGAGGGAGACTCTGATTATTGGAAAACATCTTGTCCCTCCACTCTGTTTGCAACCCCCCCACCCCCGCACTTTCCTCTAGGAACCCAAGGATTAAAATCTAAATTATTTTGTTTGGCATTCAGATCACTCCCAACTTGTGATTTGACCTGCATTTGCATAGCCTTGTAACACAGGTTCCTTTCTAGCCTCCCCAGAATATTTATAGCCCAGTGTAGGGCTGAAGACTTGGCTGTGGAGTCAAATAGGCCTAACAACAAATCTTTATCTCTGCCATGTACTAGCTATATTTCTTTGGGAAATTTACTGGATTTCATGAACCCCAGTTTCCTTGATTACAAATTTGGAGTGAACAATCCCTACATTCTCTTCATCTTCACCTGTAGAAAGCTAACACATTCCTCAAGGAAAACTTCCTCTGTTTTTAAGAAATTGTTCTGCTGTTCCCTGAGTTTAAGTTAAGCTCGTTCTTTTCTCTTGACCATATATCCTAATTGATTCTGTGCCTTCACAATGGCACTCAGAGGCCTTCATTCATCCTAGGCTCAAAGTGCCATGTGCCCACCAGAGGATGAGGGCCACCAAATCACTCATTTCCCTGTCCTTTCCTGGAGCTTAACCCAATGTGGCACTTTCTGTTGATACCTTGTAATATTTAGTTCTTTTAGCTGTTTCTTCTGAAAATCGCATTTGGTCAGTGGCATGTATATGGTAGAAAATGTGCTTTCTGTGCATCTCTCTGCAGGCTTGCACGAGGGGTGGGTGCACCGTGAGTGCGGCCAGCGAGGCCTGGACTGATGAGAATGTCCCCAAAGGCGTGCCAGCCGCCGACGCGCACTCATACTCACCTCACTCCTTTAACATCTCCTGGACTGAGCCCGAATATCCGAATGGTAAGTGAACTCTTTTAGCCTTAAGTTAAAAAGATGATTAGCAAAGGTAAATTAATATTCTAAATGGCAGCTTATATGTGGTGCTTAATTTTTAATGATCATTTTAGCACATAAAATACCTGAGATAGTGTCATTGTCTGTAGTTGGAAGACTGTGGTTTTTAGGTTAACGCACAATTTTGGTGGCTCAAAACTGCTCCCTTTTGATAGTTCTTGTGTACTGCAGCTTATTGTTTAACATGTTCCAGAAGTGCAGAGAACAAACAAGGATTCCCAAAGAACGCCATTATGAGAGTGCCATATTTTCAATGACTTCCTGTTTTTGACTGATTATTTTGTTTGTGGAGAAGTACCGAGAAAGTTCATGTACGTATTGTCTTTAAAAATGATTTAATAAATTTGTCTTAAAAGAGACCATTTGGAACTCTGCATTTTAAATATATCATCTATAAATATTTCAACATGCAGCTTTTAAACAGTGCACACATTATATATACATGTATACTTGTTTAACTTGAACTGGATTGGGTACATTTCTAAGCATTATACACATCTGCCTAGTTTGGAGAATGGTGAGCCAAGTTAAAGTTTGCTAAAATAAAATCTTATAAAGAATTTACAATTAACTTGGGGTAGAAATTGCTTTATTCATTAATTGGAAATATCTAAGTTTCACATGACACAGTATCATTGTTCCACATTGATAAAAGCTTGCAGAATGTCATATTTTGTTAATCTTTAAGACAAATATTAAGGAGACTTTTAATATTATAAAAACTGTTTTAAGGAACTTCTTACTGAAATATTGAAAGGGCCTCCTTCAGCACAGCCAAAATAGAATGATAGAAAAACATTACAATTTCATTGGTTTTATTGGTCTTATGTTTACTATGATATTAATTATTCCAGTCGTCTCATTTTAATTAAACTTTTGGCAAATGCATTAGATAAATTTGAGGTAATAGAGAGACCTCTAATAATTAGAGTGAGTGATTATCTCTGCTATTGAATTTATTATTGTATTATAACAAATTTTCTAATAAGAAATAAATGGAAGTCTATTTGATACTTACATTAAACAGTCAAAAGCTTGTCATACTTGGCACTCCACAAAGAAATCTAGTGTATAGGTGACAATGAAAATGTTGATGACTTATTCCAATTGGATTGCTGTTAAATGCTTTTACATGATTTGCATAGTAGAATACTTTCTTCATTCCAGCTGGAACCACGACTGCTTTCAGAATCCCAAGATAACTAGAGAGATACTTTCTACAGTTCAAGGAATATTTGTTCATGTTTTTTTGCATTTATAAGCAGTTTTTACAATATATTCATTGAATAATATGAATTTGGGAGAATTTGGAGATTTTCATTAACATTTCCATTCTATTCTAAAGTCTTCTGTTTAATCACATCAGAATTTTCCAAATTTTTGTTGTGGGAAAATGGTTAGATACTGAAAGGCAATAGTTTTCATTAAAAAAAAAAAAAAGACCCAACTCTCCACTCCTTCTCTTACCACTTTCCCCCAGTGTTTCAGTGTTTGGTTTCTGTTGTCCATTGTCTGGAGAGGGAGACTCTGATTATTGGAAAACATCTTGTCCCTCCACTCTGTTTGCAACCCCCCCACCCCCGCACTTTCCTCTAGGAACCCAAGGATTAAAATCTAAATTATTTTGTTTGGCATTCAGATCACTCCCAACTTGTGATTTGACCTGCATTTGCATAGCCTTGTAACACAGGTTCCTTTCTAGCCTCCCCAGAATATTTATAGCCCAGTGTAGGGCTGAAGACTTGGCTGTGGAGTCAAATAGGCCTAACAACAAATCTTTATCTCTGCCATGTACTAGCTATATTTCTTTGGGAAATTTACTGGATTTCATGAACCCCAGTTTCCTTGATTACAAATTTGGAGTGAACAATCCCTACATTCTCTTCATCTTCACCTGTAGAAATCTAACACATTCCTCAGGGATAACTTCCTCTGTTTTTAAGAAATTGTTCTGCTGTTCCCTGAGTTTAAGTTAAGCTTGTTCTTTTCTCTTGACCATATATCCTAATTGATTCTGTGCCTTCACAATGGCACTCAGAGGCCTTCATTCATCCTAGGCTCAAAGTGCCATGTGCCCACCAGAGGATGAGGGCCACCAAATCACTCATTTCCCTGTCCTTTCCTGGAGCTTAACCCAATGTGGCACTTTCTGTTGATACCTTGTAATATTTAGTTCTTTTAGCTGTTTCTTCTGAAAATCGCATTTGGTCAGTGGCATGTATATGGTAGAATCCTACTGCTGTAATGATACCATCAGAGAGAAAAGAAGTAGTTACAGGCCAGGTCATGAAATATACTTGTTTGAAAAGTATTTGCTCCTGACATCTATTTGTTGAGCTGTGTGACATCTGGGACTGGGATTTTCTTTTAGGAGTTTGGAGCTGCATTTGAATCAAAATTTTGTTTTCTTTTCTAAAATTTTGGCGTGTATCGCAATCTGTGCTACATTCTGGTTGCTTTCTAATTTCTGAAGATGCTGAAAAG